TGGTAGGTGTTCTACATTGACTCTCAGAACTCTCTGAAGGAATTGAGCTCTGTTACTGCACTGGCAACTGGCCTAATAATAAACCCATCATGGATCTCCCTGGTGGCTCAGGGGTTACAGACAGTGCTATCGCCAGCCTCTGAAGCACCAATCCCCTGCAGGCCAGGGAGCTACCCACATGGCACAGCAGACCTCTCCTGCCTTGTCCGCTGCTTCCTTCAGCAGTGTGTTTCAGCACATCTGCCTGTTTTGCTCCCCCTCTCTCTGGTGAATCCTCTCACCCTCTGTACCTCTGGCTTACACCCCAGTTCTTATACGCATAAATAAATAAATAAAAAATAATAACATAATCGTCATGGAGTGACTTTCCTTCTCTGTCCTACATCCCCATTGTCCCACCCACATTTCTTTCACCTGTCAGATACAGTAATTGTTTTAATCCCCGTCTCGGCATCTTCCTCTAGGTTTTCCCAAACTTATTATTGTTGACAATAAGGCAATCACCAACAATATTGGCTCTAATTTTGACTCTTAAAATTGAATTTTATACCTCACTGTGACTGTCTCCCCAACCCCCCACCGACTGTCCATGAGTAGGTCATGGATTAGAGTTTATAAGACTGAGCTGGGAATGAGATATTGGTTTATTTTGGTAGATATAGGTATGACTCATCACTTTCCAAAATAATTGTCATTGTATATATCATCTGATGGTTTCTTCTCTCCAAAATACTGATTAGTTAGAGTGCTCTATGATCCTAAAGAAATCTTTAGAGTGTGTTAAAAATAACAAAGATGTAGGGCCTCCCTGGTGGCGCAAGGGGTTAAGATGCAACCTATGAATCTATCTGCAGCCACTGCAGCACAAGTTCGATGCCTGGTCAGGGAGTGACCCACATGGTGCAGCTGACCTCTCCTGACCAACTGCTCCCCTCAGCAGTGTATTTTAGTCAATCTGCCTGTTTTGTTCCCCACTCTGTCTCTGGTGAATCTTTTCACACACACACCCCACACCTTTGGCCTGTACCCCACTTCTTGTATGCATAACTAAATAAATCTAAAAAAAATAATAAAGATGTATGTTTCCCTCAGGAGAACACATTTCTCAATAAACTGATTCATCAGGAGGAAGGCAATATTATAGGTGACATTCATTGTACCTGTGTAATTCTTCTATCTCTCCCATTGATCATTTCCCCTTTGTTTCCCTTCTTTTTATCTCTCCACTTTCTTTACCTTTCTTTGGTCCAAATTCCCACTCCATTTTGAAGGAAAAAGTATCAGATAACACCTCCAGAAATCTGTCACAGATCGAACACACTCATTCTTGAATAACAGCATCCCTTGATAGATCAATTTTCTTGGTACTAAGTGAAAAGTCTTCTGAGCTCTTCATCCTCTAAAGTCTTGCTAATTAGAATATTCTTTAATGGGACAGACTGTCTCAGGCTTCCCTGCCCTATCCTCAGATTTCATAGGATAGCTCAGTCACAGAGCTCCTACCGGAGATTAGATACACAATCAAGACACAGACAAAGAGCACTAAGTTTTAAAAATGAACCTTTTTCAAAAAAAATTTAAATATCATGACAGACTCCATTTACCTTCAAGTAGCATCATGTGAGAATAATGACTGCTTTACAATCATAAATTGCACAGAAACCAAACCCTCCATAGTGAAGAATTCACAAAGGAATATGTTTTCTTGGTTCTAGGAAAGAGGGTGAGAAAATGTTCCTCCCTGAGCTGAGCAGATTTGGCCAATAACAATGACAATAAACCCAGGCTTCTCTGTATAACTACAAGGTCAAGAAGAGATGTTTATTTCTCTCATTTTTTGCTGAGTAGATAATCTTGGTTGCTGCCTATAGGACTCAGACACCTTGTCAAAATGGGTGCAACTGAGAAACCAACAAAAAATGAAGCTTCTGAGTTCCTGTTGATGTTTTCTCTGGAATTGCAGAAACAGAAGGGGTGCTTCATGACCTCATAAAGATTCTTCTATAAAATTCAATAGGGAATCAGGACTTTTGGAGCTCTGAAATGATTCTGTTGGGGATTAGAGGGTACCATTTTATGGAGGTGATAGCACCTCTAAGTTTTCTGTGAGGAAAGGAGTTTATCATAAAAAATGTAAGATTTGTGACTAAAATATACTTTGTTTTGTTGTTGTGAGCCTATCTTAGCTTTATAACCTGGATTTTCACTTCTTTGCAAAGCAAATCTTACACTTTTACTTAGTCAGTTGTGTTTGCATAGCTCCTTCACAAAAATGCAGTTTCTGTTTTTATTTATTTATTTATTTTATATAATTCTTACATCATTTTTCATTTTTGCACAATGGATGCACTTTCATTTTGGTTATATTCCCCATACAATTGCACCCCCCCTTATTTTGACCCTAATCCTTCATCTCCTCCCCTCCCTAACCCCACCCCCCCAGGTAGTGTGTCTCTGATTTATGGTTGCTTGAGCTTCCATATGATCCAGCAATTCCACTTCTAGGTATTTACCCAAAGGACACAGAAACATTAATTCCAAAGGGCACCTGCATCCCTATGTCTATAGCAGCACTGTTTACAATAGCTAAGCTATGGAAAAATGCCCAAAAATAGATGACTGGATCAAGAAGATGTGGTACATATACACCATGGAATATTACTCAGCAATCAAAAAAGATAAACACGTGCAGTTTGTAGCAACATGGATGGAGCCAGAAGGGATCATGTTCAGCAAAATAAGTCAAAAAGAAAAAGAAAAATACCAGATGGTCTCACTCATAGCAGGAATTTAGAAAACCTAAGTAAGGGACCAGGAAAAAGACTAATTAATACAAAAATGCAGTTTCTGAAACCTGCTCAACACAGAAAAGGGCATTTGATGAAGAACAAGACAGACATCCCTATGCTGAGAGGACCACCTCCCAAGCTCTGATAATTTTCCATTTGGTGGTATTTTAAGGCCCCATATGCTTGAAGTGTCACTATAAGTCTGTCACTGGAAAATGGCATTTCCCACATCTTCCATAGGCTGGCAAGTTTTTGTCTGTGTTAACCAACAGCTGTAAATAGCCTTAATCTCTTGTGATCATAATTTGAATTTATCTCTCCATGAGTCAACCATAGATAGTAAACATTCTTTCTTTTTTGCAGGAGATATAAGAAGAATTAATCACATTGAGGGAAAAAAGAACATTTCAGGTTTTTAATTTTATTTTTATTTTTTAAAGATTTATTTATATGTGCATATAAGAGCTGGATACAGGCCAGAGGTGTGGGGGGCTGGGGTGAGAGGATTTACCGGAGACAGAGTGGGATACAAAATAGGCAGATTGACCAAAGTACACTGCTGAGGGGAGCAGCGGGCTAGTCAGAAGAGGTCTGCTGCGCCATGTGGGTTACTCCCTGGCAGGCTGGGGCTCAAACTCGTGCTGCAGAGGCTGCAGACAGCTTCATAGATTGCATCTTACCCCTTGTGCCAAAAGGGAGATCATTTCAGGTTTTTAAAAAAGGCTTTGATTTTTCCTGTGCTATGTGCATCATTGGCAACTAAAGAGAAGACAGAGGTCTTTAGGATTTGTATCACTCACCATAAAGTTATAATGTTCATTCTGGGAAAGAATTGAAAGACAGAGATGAAATTTTCTATACTTTGATTTTTGGTTCACATTTTCTTTTTTTATGTTTAATAGTCATATGAGCATTAGGAAAAAAAAGTACTTGGCTGGTATATGGCTCTATACTTGTACAGGCACATGCTGGATTATCAAGAATGTTTGACACTCAGTGACAAGGATGCATAGAAAAAGGAAATTTTATCCACTGCTGCTAGGAATGTAAATTGATGCAGCCATTATTGAAAATAATGTGGAGTGTCCTCAAAAACATGAAAGAAGAACTACCTTATTATACAGTAATCTCTCTTCTGGATTTTTGCACTAACTTGCAAAGAGATATGCATCCCTATATTCATTGCACCGCTATTCACAATAGCCAAGGTTTAGGAATAATCCAAGTGCCTAATAATGGAGGATTGGATAAAGATAACATGATATATAAGCACACAATGGAATACTACTTATCTATACGAAAAATGAAATCTTGCCATGTGTGACATGTTGGACCTTGAAGGGATTATACCAAGTGAAATAAGTCAAAAGGATTGAGACAAATACTGCATGATTTCACTCTTTTGTCGGATATAAAGAAAGGAAAAACAGAAACAAACATTTAGACTCTGATAACAAAAGAATGATTACTAGAGGGGAATGAGGAAGGAAAAAATGGGTAGGGGGTCAATTGGTTGTTGGTGGATGGTGAATGAGTATTTGGTGGTAGGTGTGATGAGAAGATGCGATTTTCGAAACTAGATAGCATTGTAAACAAATGGTACTGCAATAAAAAAATAATAATGTTTGACTCTCTGAAGTCCATTTTACTGTTTTCTCAACTGTAAACCCCTGTGATCTCCTTACTCATCCAAATTCCTAAGACAGAATTTACTTTGATCTCTTTCTCATCTGAACTGTTTACACCAATAATGCAGGAATATGTGTTATTTATTCCTATAAATATTTTTGAAATTCAATTTTGAAACTCCAATATTAAGTTCTATAAAATCGTAAGCAAATAAGAACTTATATATACATCTACTGGGAATGGAAATTGTTGTAACACCGGTAACACTTTTTAAAGTGTCCTATATCTGGCAAAACCGAAAATTTGCTTATCACATCATCTGTCAAGTAGGCACTTACATTTTCTGTATTCATAAAATAAGGCTGATAATTTTATCTATTTTTGCAAAGGAATACCAAAATTATTATATCAGTGGTGTGTGGGTTATGAATGTATAAACAATGCCATATATTTTTAAGGACGACTATATATGTAGAAGAGTATACAGACACATGGGAAGAATAACCCACAAAGAAGCGGTGGTGGTGACCGCAGCAGTAGAAGCAGGAGTTTATCTGTGTGCAGCCCCAAACTGGGAAGAAGATGCTTATCAAAGTGGAGACACTGACGGGAAAGGAGATTGACATTGACATTGAACACACAGACAAGGTGGAGCGAATCACGGAGCGTGTGGAGGAGAAAGAAGGAATCCCCCCACAACAGCAGCGGCTTATCTGCAGCGGTAAACTGATGAATGATGAGAAGACAGCAGCTGATTACAAGATCCTAGGTGGTTCAGTCCTCCACCTGGTATTGGCTGTGAGAGGAGGAGGTGGTCTTAGGCAATGATGGACCCTCTCTCCATTTTACCTCCTTTACCCTGTCGGTCAGAATGAGGCATCATCTATCCTCTCACACCCTGGGACACCAGAGCTACTGACCCCTCTCCTGGATGCCCAGTCTTGTGTGTCTACTGGTGGGAGACTGTGAGGACCCCAGGATGCATTGTTCCTGGCCCAAAAGGCTCTAGCTGGCAATTGGGTTTTAGTTTGCAGTCCTGTGTGCTTCCCTGTCATGGCTATGTCCCGTTGTCAATAAAATATTTCTTGGCCTCCTGGGAAAAAAAAAAAAAAGAATCCACAAAGTTATTACAACTAGAGAGGATAAAAAGTTCTGTGGTCAGGAACGAGACCACTAAAAACATCAGTTGATTAGAAAATGTGTCACTTGTCAAGTTGAATAGTGTATAAATGCTTTTTCTTTGTATTGTTCTTTATATATTTCAGTAAATATTAAATATTGCACAACAAAATAAAGTAACAAATAGTAATAATAATGAACAAATGGTTTATTCATAAATCAGGTTTTCATACACTTTTGGGAAAAAGTAACTTGTTAACTTTTTAGACAGCATTTTATATGACGTCTTAACTCAATTTGAATCTTTGTTAAGAAATTTTAGGGCCTCCCCCGTAGCGCAGCGGTTGAGCGCTGGATTGTGAAGCTGCCCGCAGCCTCTGCAGCGCCGGTTCGATTCCCAGGCTGCTCCCCGGCCACCGGAGGAGGGTCCCACATGGCCCACATGGCGCGCAGACCTCTCCTGCTGCCTGCTGCTTCCCTCGGCAGTGTACTTCGGTCCTTCTGCCTGCTCTGCTCCCCGCTCTGGCTCTGGCGAATTCTCTCTCACCCTCCCGCACTTCTGACTGTACCCAGTGCTTGTATAAATAAATAAATAAATCTTAAAAAAAAAAAAAGAAATTTTACAAATAAAATCCAAAAGCATGGTGAAAATTCATTTAGCAAGGATTTACTCATGTGCACTTACTGAGTTAATGACAGCAAGACAGTTTTCCTAAAGCTGATTCCACCTATGAGTATAAATAAGACTCCAGTAAAAACAGTCATTCTGATTTTCAGTTGAGGTCCCTGGACTCTGTTCCACCTCCCTCATGGCCATTATGCAGGTCTTCAGATGTGGTAATATCTTGTCCATTTATATCTGGATTATTTTTATGCCATGGTCTAAAAGGCCATCAACAAATTCCCATGACAGTATTTTCTCTAACATTCGATGTTTCTAAAGGACCGGGATTCAATTGAAAACACCCACGATAGTCTTGTCATTCAACTAAAAGTAATTAAATGAACACCTGCTATGTCTCTATCAGTCACTACTCTGTGACTTATCCCCCTGTCAAATGAATCTTATCTGAACTATCCTAATAAGAGATGCTGAGTAGACAGGAAAGACAAGGAGCAATAATGCTTGAAGAGGACTAATAAATGCTTTAAAAAACCTTTGTTTGATGCTAAGGGTTTTGGACCCTCTGTTGCAATAGATCCGATTGGAAAGATTTAATCTCCAAGTTTTTGCTTTTGCTTTCTGTGGTTTTAAATGTATTTTTCCCCCAGAGTCTGGAAACTTTTCCAGTAACATGTAATATAGATAACATTTGTCATCCATAATCATATTTAAAAATATAAGGGTATATTTTTAGTAACCAAGAGTGAGAAACAGTTCTCACTGAGATCAACTTCTTTTTCCATTCAGCATTAGTTAAGGGACTGATTTAAAAAAATCACCCGAGACAGTATGAGTTAATTGTTTGAATCCATAAAATCCAGCAGAGCTGATGTGGAGATTGTTGAAGGAGCATTTCCAATCGGTGACTAGCTCTGCCAGTACAGGTTTTGTCACATAACCACAAGTGGAGTTCCAAGATGGAAAGTTGCCTTCAGAAATCTAGTTAGTCATGGTAAATGTTTATTTCTCTTCCTCTATTAGCTCAAAGCCCTTTAGTTCGAATTGTAGTGGAAAAGGAAGATTTTGAAAAATGAGAATATGGGAATTATAATGGATCTGGCCCCAGTGTAGGGGTCTGAACATTTTTTGTAAAGGGTCACATGGTAAATATCATCAATTTTGTTGGTCATGTGTTTTCTATGGCAACTACTAGACTTGGATGTTTTAGCAAGAAAACATTGATAAATAGTACAGAAATGAATGGATATGGCTGTGTTCCAGTACAGATCTATTTTCATAAAAAAACAGAAATAGGCCAGATTTGGCCTGGCAGCCATAGTTGCCAACCTTATCTAGCTGAATCTCTTTTATAAAAAAGAATATTAATGTGCCAACAAAGTCCATGCTCTTAGTGTGATCTAGAGGAAAAGTTAAGATGAAAAGAACAAGAAACAATATTAGCTCGAAGATGGTAGCATTTGCTAAAACCAAAACATATGCACACATTTCAAAGTGATAGATGAACAAAATAAAAGATACATTAAACATATATAAAGATGTCCTTTGGGGGATGTTGGGGGAAGGAGAATGGGAATAAATTATACTATACTTTATTATTATTTTTTTTAATATTAAATTTTATTTTTATATTCCCCCATACAATTGCAAATGCCCCATTCTGACCCCAATCCTTCCCCTCCCGTCCCCCACCCCCCAAAAAGTGTCTCTGGTTCATAGTTTTTTGTTGATTTTGATTTTCACTTTCTTATATTCATTTTCCTGGTCCCTTATTTAAGTTTTCTAGATTCCTGCTATGAGTGAGACCACCCGGTATTTTTCTTTTTCTTTTTGGCTTATTTCGCTGAGCATGATCCCTTCCAGCGCCATCCATGTTGCTGCAAATTGCATGTGTTTATCTTTTTTGAATGCTGAGTAATATTCCATGGTATATATGTACCACATCTTCTTGATCCAGTCATCTATGTTTGGGCATTTGGGTTGTTTCCAAAGCTTAGCTATTGTAAACAGTGCTGCTATAAACATAGGGGTGCAGGTGCTCTTTGGAATTGATGTTTCTGTGTCCTTTGGGTAAATACCTAGGAGTGGAATTGCTGGATCATATGAAAGCTCTATGTTTAGTAGGTCCAGAAATCTCCACACAGCTCTCCATAGTGGTTGGACCAGTTTGCACTCCCAACAACAGTGCAGAAGAGTTCCTTTTTCTCCACACCCTCGCCAACATTTGTTGTTGCTAGTTTTTTTAATATGTGCCATTCTCACTGGTGTGAGATGGTATCTCATGGTAGTTTTGATTTGCATTTCCCTGATTACAAGTGATGTTGAACATTTTTTCATATGCCTGTTGGCCATTTGCATTTCCTCTTCAGAGAAGTTTCTTTTTAGCTCTTCTGCCCATTTTTTGACTGGATTATTTTCTTTGTTGTTGCTGAGTCTCATCAGCTCTTTGCAGATTTTTGTGATCAGTCCTTTATCATTAGTGTTGGGTGCAAAAATGTTCTCCCAGTTGGTGGGGTTTCTCTTTGTTTTTGTTATTGTCTGTTTTGCTGTGCAGAAGCTCTTTAATTTGATGTAGTCCCAGCTGTTTATCTTTGTCTTCACTATCACTGCTTTGGGTGATGTGTCTGTAAAGATGTCTTTGATGTGCAAATCCCGTAGTGTTTCGCCTATATTTCCTTCTATGTATTTTATGGTTTCAGGTCTTATGTCTAGTTCTTTAATCCATTTTGAGTTGATTTTTGTGTATGGTGTGAGGTAGTGGTCAAGCTTCATTCTTTTGCATGTAGCGACCCAGTTTTCCCAGCACCATTTATTGAACAAACTTTCTTTGCTCCAATGCATAATCTTTGCTCCTTTGTCAAAGATTAGTTGACCATAAATCTGTGGGTTTATTTCTGGATTTTCTATTCGATTCCATTGGTCTGTATGTCTGTTCTTGTTCCAATACCATGCAGTTTTGATGATTATGGCTTTGTAGTATAGTTTGAAGTCTGGGAGTGTGATGCCTCCATTTCCTTCTTTTTTTTTCAGTAGAGCTTTGGCTATTCGGGGTTTTTGGTGATTCCATATGAATTTCATCAATAATTGTTCTATTTCTTTGAAGAATGCCATTGAGATTTTGATTGGAATAGCATTGAATCTGTATATTGCTTTTGGTAGGATGGCCATTTTAATAATGTTTATTCTTCCAATCCATGAGCAGGGGATGTCTTTCCATTTCTTTGTGTCTTCTTCTATTTCTTTTAACAGTGTTTTATAGTTTTCTTTGTATAGGTCCTTTACCTCTTTTGTTAGATTTATTCCCAAATATTTGATTTTTTTTGTTTCGATAATAAAAGGGGTGGTTTTTTTGATTTCTTCTTCTTCAGATTTATTGTTTGTGTATAGGAAGGCTACTGACTTTTGCGTGTTGATTTTGTATCCTGCCACTTTACTGAATTGATTGATGAGTTGAATTAGTTTTTCTGTGGAGATTTTGGGGTTCTCTATGTATATTATCATATCATCTGCAAATAGTGATAGTTTGACTTCTTCTTTTCCTATTTGGATTCCTTGGATGTCTTTCTCTTGTCTTATTGCTCTGGCTAGGACTTCCAGTATTATATTGAAAAGCAGTGGTGAGAGTGGACATCCTTGTCTTGTTCCAGATCTTAATGGAATTGCTTTCAGCTTTTCACCATTGAGAATGATACTGGCTGTTGGCTTGTCATAGATGGCCTTTATGATGTTGAGGTATGTTCCTTGTATCCCAAGAATTTCAAGGGCTTTTATCATGAATGCGTGTTGCACTTTGTCGAAAGCTTTCTCAGCATCTATTGATATTATCATATGGTTTTTATATTTCTTTTTGTTGATGTGTTGGATAACGTTGATTGATTTTCGGATGTTAAACCATCCTTGTGCCCCTGGAATGAATCCAACTTGGTCGTGGTGAATTATCTTATGGATACATTGTTGGATTCTGATAGCTAAAATTTTATTGAGGATTTTTGCATCAGTGTTCATTAGGGAGATTGGCCTGTAGTTTTCCTTTTTTGTGTTGTCCTTATTCAGTTTTGGTATTAGTGTAATATTGGCTTCATAGAAC